ATACCGACCTTCACCCCGCTTTAGACGGGGGAATATATTTAGAAAGAGAGGGGCTTTCATGTTGTAGAGGGGGATCAACTCTGTGTGTGTCAGAGAGAATAAGACGGACAAACCTGCAGCCCCATGTTGTTGTGTATGAAAACAAGTGGTTGCCTCGCACCACTTCCCCTGCAGCGTCAGCCACGAGTCACCAAGGAAACGGCATGATCCGCCTCACCCAGCTGTAATGTTTTTATCAGCTGATGGCTGAAAATGACAAAGCCTTGCACTTGGTGGCCTTGGTTATCACTGATGGCTAACAGCTTGACTCCCAACAGCTCATGAAAAACATTTTCAGATAAAAGGCTAACTGTGCAGACGCAGTAAAAAGTCCTGATTTGTGAGTGGGTCTGCTCTTAAATCACCTTCATCAAAGATGCTAGAGATGAGCCTGGATTTTGCTTTAGGCGACAGCTGACTGTCATTGCTTTGCTGATTAGGTTGAAGCCTAAAATAAAGAGTAAACATGAGTCATTGAGTGCACATGCAACAGCAAGGATTTTGTTCCTTTGAGACCCAAAGGCCAGTGTCACATCTAGAAGAGAAAAAAAAAAGAATTTCAACATAGGGATTAATAAAGTATATTTTCTTCTAGAGCTATAACGATTTGTCAATTAATCAACTAGTCAACAACCCAAAACAAATTTTAGAAGTAAAATGCCGAACATTTGACAGTCCTGTGCTGCTTTTCTTAGTCTTATGTTATAGTCAGTAGAAATCTTTGGATTTTGGACTATCAGTCAAACAAAATAGGAATTTTGATGATTTGACCTTGGGCTTTAGAAAACTCTGGACACTTTTCACTGTTTTCTGGCATTTTATGGACAAAATGATAAATCGATTAATTAAGAATGAAAATAGTCGTTATTTACAGACCTAGTCAGATCATGGCAGGACTACAGGGTGATCAAATCTCAGAATTTAGAATGTAGATATCCTTTTTTGATGGAAAGTGACGTTTACAGAACCTATAATGCACACAGCAGAGAGTGACACATGCACAAATGTGTGCTAACAACATGTGGATGCATATTCGACTGCTGAAATCTCTACTGTCTGTTTTTCCCTCCATAACATAAAAGCACATTTTCAATTTTATGCAGGAGAAAGAATTGGAGTTACTATTAGTATTTTCGGCCGGTAGACTTTAATTTTGACTTTCCACCTCCTTACGCTTGCTTTGGCTTGCTCTGTCTCATATTAATGTGTTCCCAGCAAGAGATCCTCCCTCGTCCTCTGCTCATCCTCCTCATCTCTCCTTTTCATGCCCTCTCTCATTCCTCATCCTCTCCTCGTAGTCCCCTCCCCTCCCCCTCACAGACAGGCCTCCATAAACATTGCAGCCTCCTAATGTAAACAGTACAGTTACTCGAACTAGGAGGGGAGGGATGGAGAGAGCATAGAGGAGTGATGGGGAGGAGAGGAAAGGAGGGACAATTCATTTTCCTGTACTATCTAAATGAAAGCCTTGCAAACTGGGTACTTTTGTGCCTACTATACAATATTGTCAACACAATTTCACTGTGTGCACTTTGCTTTTTTTGCTTAATTGTCTTAAATGTCTTTTTAAAGCAGTATTTCTCACTGTGGTATCTGGGGCACAAAGCAGAGGAAAGGAAGTGGTCTTGGTCAGGAGCTGTGGTGGTGAATGAAAATAACTCAGTTTGACAGAATTTATGGATTAATTTAGCTTGTTAAAGCACACGCGCGCAAACACGCAGAGCTAATGTAGTTAATGGATGGATAAGAACACCCTCCCTCCGACAAATCCCCAAACCTGTGCACACAATCTCTGTATCATCTTTCACATCCTGCAGAGGTCATAAAACATGGTTTTCCCATTCTGTTTCGCCTCCCCTTGTCTTTCAAGCCCTCCTTGTGCACACACATATCACTCTACTGAGGGTCTGTGGGTCCACATTTAATGCACCCAATTACTTAGGCCCCCGCTCCTCTGGCTGCTGCATTACGTCAGACTTGGCAGGCTGTATTTTTAGCTTGGAGATGCCATTGGCCCTCTCTCCCTCCCTCTGTGTGTATTGAGTTACCACCTTGTTGCTGAAAGAACCCAATGGACGCCTACCCGAGCTGCCCTCGTCCAATCACAACACATTGAACCACTGCGTAACGACGCAAGCAGGAGGAAAGACTATGTCCATTACGGTTTTGGCATTTGGTGGTGACAAGGAAACTGTGGAGCAGGGGCCATTGAGAGCGTGTTGAAGGTAACGGGGACCAGCCAAGACATGCATTCATGCCACGCCACAGACTGTATGGTGGTCACACATGCTGAGTGTGAGGACGTTTCTATAGAAAATGGTCTGTGGTGAAGACCCGAGTGCCAAATGTTAATGCTAGCTGTTCTGCATTTCTCCCAGACACCAGAAATTACAAGGTTGTAAGAGGAAAAACTGTGAGCAGAGTTATGAAAATACATTTAGGTCTATTTTCAATTTTCCTCTCCTTGCTCCCTCTCATTATTTCATCCTTTTAATAGCTGCAGTACACTTAAGGGAGCAATGAAGTTGCGTTCTGCACAGCTGAGCCATCAGAATGGAGCGATGACAGCTAGGCCCCATGCTGTTAAAGAAACTCACACAGGGTCTCAGAAAGAAAGCTTGGAATGTTTTCACTCAAGTACCAAGTGTTTCCCCCCGGAGTAAACAGTATAAAAACCCAACAGCTTGACAAACAACTCCCCCCCCACCAAATCAATTCACACAGTCCCAGGCCTTCACAATGACATCTGCATTGAGATGCCGGTGGCCACTCTTCTTCTCAAACGTTCCTCGCCATCTTAATCACCAGTTTAATCTCTTCCTCATTCCAGTTTGCTTTACTCACATCACAGCAGCCTTGTTTCCTGGTTCTAAGCAGCCATTCTGTTGTTTCACCTACTCACTTGCTAATCCCAATCATTCAGCTTTTAGACGGGATCAGCAGGAGAGTGTCAACAATGCATATGGGTGCCCCTATGTAAAGTTAAGGTCAGGGGAAACAATAGCAGCACGCAGAAACAGAAGGCCACTCAAGTTTTAGGTTACCATGGCACCAAGCTGTTTGACATATGGAGGAGGTCAGCGTAGGGCAGCATTCAAGATCGTTCCCCAGTCAAAAATGGTTAGCATGTTTCTTTCAGAATGAATAGAAGCAGTGTGCGTGCGTTAATGATGGATTATGATGAATCCAAATCATCATGTCGATGTGTGTCTGTGATCTGCTGTTTGCGTTCCATGTATCAGAAAGTAATTGGAGTCCATTATGGCTTGAGTTTGTCCATTAGTGGCTGTGTCCTTCCTCATGTAATAAGTAGATGCAATGTGTTGGTGCCACATTTAGATAATGTGCTACCAGCCTTGAATACAAAGTAGATGTGTTTCTTAATGAGGGTCGAAATGCAGCTCTTGCCTCTTTTTAACCTTGGGAATACAGAGATTTCTGGACCCACTGTAAATGGAATATTTTCAGGTTTTAGATTGTTGGCTGGTTGGAACTTGTGATGGACTTATTTCACTATTTTCTGTTTTTCCATTCTATATAGACTAACTGTTAAATAGATAGTTGCAGCCTATAGTAAAGGGCTATGGTAGTTGAAGTATTATTGGGAGATAAGGTAAGAGTTGGCACATGTAAACAACCACCTATATTGCATACATGCTCAATATATAATACACAATATGTATACTATTCTTCTACTATTCTAAATGTAGCCAATTTATTTTAAGCTTTTTAGTTTTTTATGATGCTGCAGAACACATTTTATTCCATCAGTATGCCTTTAAACACTCTTTGCTGCCACAGCAGTACATAAGTTGAAACAGTTCAGATCGACTGCTTTGTTTAAAGGATGACTGAGCAAACGTCTGTGTCTGGACACAGTGACTCTGAGAGGAGAGAGAGCCCCGGAGTGAGACAGAGGATAGGCTGGAGAAGCAATGATGGGGTATGTGGGTGGAGGAAATGAGACACCGCTTTGGGAAGTGCCTTCCTGGACTAATGCCGGAGTAATGACATCACTACTCAGGGGGAACATCTCAAAGTATAATAGGCTAAAAAGTGAGACATATTCACTCCAGCTTAACTATCATTCACTGCTAAGGCTTTTACACTTGAACATAAAGTAACAGATGCACAGTACGGGCTAAATAAACAGTCAGTGGGTATTTGTAACTCTAGAATGTGAAGAAGAGTGAAGTCAGTGAGCTAGTTGGCCGGCTATTCATTTTGACCTGCTTAACATTCTTATCTATTTTCTGAATGTATCCCATTAAGGTGATAAATAGATAAGAAATGGATGCAAAGGGGCTGTTGCACTTTGTTTGAATGTATTTTACTTTCGCTTTGAAGTGATTTGCGGCTCTTACACAACTTGAGCTCATAACAGTGCTCCTCGTACATTAACCAGAGCTAGGTGATCTGCACAAACAGCTGCTTTGAGTTCCATTAAGTCCCTGCGGTTTTCACCTTCCCCTTCAAGTCAGACACACACACCATGAGACCACTGGTCCGTCCCCATTGTGCTGAGCCCCTGCGTAGCGAAAGCCTGGGAGCTATGTGGGGTTTTAGGTGGCTTGTGTCTGCTTTAGAGGATCACGGTGTGACTTTGGAACAAAGAGGGAGGTATGAACCTGATCTCCTCGCAGTGTCCCACAAACAACCACATCTTTCACACACTCAGTCCTCTCCTCCCTCTCACTTTGACTTCACCGCCCCGTGCAAACCTTTTCTGTGCCCCCCTCGCATCCCAAATGTGACTCTCTGCCCTGGAGGGACACATTTGGTGATCTCAGGTCAGTACAGTGTGATGGATACAGACTGAGCACTCTAGTTACGCTTTCCTTTTGCCATCAAAAACACAAGCAAGGAGAATGCAAGTTTAAAATACTACTTCTTAATCTCTTTTGCATCTTTACCGTTACTGTTGAAACTCATCCATTCTCCTCTTTTCTTCCCCTCCGTAGATGTGAAGAAGGACTGGTCAGACCATGCTTTGTGGTGGGAGAAGAAGAAGACATGGCTGCTGAAAACCCACTGGACGTTGGACAAGTACGGCATCCAAGCCGACGCCAGGCTGCTTTTCACGCCGCAGCACAAGCTGCTTCGCCTCCAGCTGCCCAACATGAAGCACATGAAGGTCAAGGTCAACTTCTCGGACCGCGTCTTCAAGGCTGTGTCCGACATCTGCAAAACTTTCAGTAAGTGGAACAAATGACTCATTTAGAGGACAGCAGGGAGAGCAGCTTTCATGATTTTTAGTCGAGATGTGGAAAACAGTCATGAAGCAAATGTCAGATGAGGTGTGACTGATGGCAAAGCGTTTTGGGAATGAGCGTAGAATAGTGGTCCAGTCTGCTTGGGCCTCGTGAAGGTGCCCACCCTGCTCGACCAAAAACTATTCCCTAACTATTTTTGGAAAGGTTCTGGACGTGTTCTCATCAAACTTAGTTAATCATGTCCTTCCTCTCACTTTGTTTTCATCCCTGGCAATTTTTTGTGTTTATTAAACATACTCTGAGCTCTGCATGCTGGAGTCACGTCCCCCTGGCTGGTCTGGAGTCGTGTCCTTGGAACCTGGGCTCCATCGGTCTCACAGTAATGTTTAGTAAACAGAGATTATCAATCTGTACAACACAGGCACACACCAAGTACACATTCATGTACATGTAAATAACTCATACTGTTGCTCACTGTCTTACTAAGATCATATCCAAATTGAACTCTCCTCCCATGGTTTAAGTAGTACCCAAGGGTCACACTATTGATATCTTCCATCACTGGCACCACCCTGTGATAGACGTGTCAGAGGTCACACACTGGACCCCAGTGACCTCTAACCTGCTAACGCCCACTTTTCCTTGGCTCAGCCCTCGCCCCTTGCCCCTACCTCTTAGTCACTGTCTCCAGTAGGGTTTGCAGGTTTGGAGAACCCCCACCAATATAAATCCTTCCACCAGGCAGGGCCATGGCACACCTGTCGTGTTTGTGTCACTGGACTGTGTTCAGCACACTGGATCAGGGGCTCCAGTGGCAGCTCCCCTGTTTGTATTGGCCTCTACAGGTAGCACTGAACCTTGTTTTTACTTTGGCAGGAATTTCCCTTTTTTAATTATATTTTTTAAGAAGGTTACAGGGTCTGCAGAGCAGTTCTATGAAATGAAGAGAACAAATGGCACATTTTATTTAGTGTAAATATACAAAGGGGCTGTTTTTGAAAGCAGAGGCAGGGGGAGGGGGGGGGGGGGGGGGGGGAACAGGACTGTAGGCCGTTCTCTTGGCCCAGGCCTAGTTAGGAATGTGTCTGCTGCTTCTGTAATAAATCTATTTCAGTTTCACAGAAATTCAGAACAAATTGCTTTTGGCTGACATTGCGCGTGCTAGGATTTTGCAAGATGTTGTACAGTGGCTGGAAAGGGCCCCTCAATGTGACATCCTTGTATTTGTGTATGTGCATTGCTGCTTGCAAAAAGCAGAACCTATGATGAGGACAGTTGATTCTTAACTGTAACTATGGGTATGACAGCCGACTTAGCTGACTTACAGCTGGTCTTGCCTGGGAGCTCTTCATTTTTTGTTATCTGGGCAACTTTGAATTTTACAATTTCCTGTGCATATTTTCTGCTGACTCCCTGTGAGCTGCACGGCATAGAGAATCTGAGAGGAGAGGACAGGAAGAGACGAGGCCTGTCCAACTGGCCTTCGCTCCAGACAGCAGCAACCGAGGGAGACAAGAAATATTGGAACATAGAAACAGATTAGACAAAGTCAGTGGAGATTTTCAATGGTCTCCAGTTCTTTTTCTCATCCTAATTTACTTGGAGGGTATTTTTTGCTCTGCTGCGTCCGGTCAGTTGGTCACACAGAAGCTATTTCCTGTTCCAAAACAAGTTTTGAGTTCAGTCCTGTAGTGTAGTATTTGGCAGTTTTTTTCCAACCCCTTCATAGTTTATTTTTCTTATTACACTCTACAGTTCAAGACGGATATTATGTTGTGATATGAATGTTATTTTGTATTATTACCATACAGAAGGTTCTTACCTCACTTTGTATTTTATCTGCTTTTCAGTCTCTTTAGCACAGCTCGAACTCGGACAGTGAGCGTCCCACACAGTGGAAAAAGCATACAAAATCAACATAACACTCCAACTTAAAAGTATAAAACCAATTATCACCGCTGTACTTCTCCCATGTCCATGGCAGCTGTGTCCTGACACAGACGCAGTCCATCTGGGCTGGCTGGGAACTGAGAGGACTCAGCAAAAGGTTGATGTACTGTAATACGTGAAAATCACTCAGTTCCACTCCTGTTTTGACCTCTGATTCCATTTGGCAGCCTTTACATCCTGTACTGCACTGCTCACTTGATGATGAAGCAGAGCCATTAGGGATTTTCCACTTTTTGTTGCAAGATAACGTTTTTAAACTCTTATCAACAATTCTGAGAATTCTCAGAACTCATGTTTGTGTATTGTTTAGGGAGGTCACAGTACCAAAAATGTAGTAGTTGATACCTATACCAGTGAAATCCCACGATTCTCAATACCAATTTGATACCACAGTAAAAATCTCCCAGTCAAGTTTTGTTTGCCCCCGATCAGCATTCAATATCTGGTGATACAGAGTCCTGATCCAATACTTATTTTCCTTATTTATACAGGTGAATAGCTCTGCATCGCATTAAGAAAAGTAAATCCCGGCAACAAGCTGTTCCTTAGCCTAACAAACTCTCTCTAATCTTTTTTTAGTCTTGTAGCTGTCCAGAGGGAGTTTCTCTCCCTTTTTGAAAGTGTCTGAGTTTGTTACTTCAGTGCAGCCTCGGCCAATCTCAGTTAGCTGAATGAACTCTATTCTGCTGAGTGTTTATTTTCCTCGTCTGTACATCTTTTGCGCAGATCACACACAGCGACAGAGACAGAGACACAGTTTTGACGATGGAGTACTGTGCATGAAATTTTCATGAGTAAATCCCCTGTTGCCGTCTTCAACATGTCTTGTTCATCTTCTTCCTGTGGTATTTAACAGCCGTCTACAGTATTCGTAGGTGTATATGCTGCGAGTCTGGAAGAATTACTTCCTCGGTACTGTCGAAAAACGAGTGCCGTTAGGTTGTCAGGATTTTGGTATCGAAGTATCAGTTCTCGTGACCCTGGTTCTGTTTGAAGTGTTCATTGTGTTTTGGTGCCAGCTGAAACTGTATAGATACGCTGTAGGACAAATTATTTTAATTAGCAATTAAGCTACTGATTGTTTTTTCAAAAGATGTAAGAAAATGGTAGTAAATGCTTGTAAAAACTTGCTGGAACTGAAGCTCAAACCTTTTTAAATGTCTTGTTTTGTCCAAACAACAGTTGAAAATCCAAAGATATTCAGTTCAGTAAACAGAGAAAAGCACCAAATCCTTAAATTTTAGAAGGTCTAACCAACAATATCTGGTAATAGATTATCAAAATTGTTACTTTTGACCACTTATCAATTAATCGACTAATCGTTTCAGCTATAAAAAGCTGTTTGAAATCCAAAAAGTTACGTCTTTAGTTAGGAAAAAATTAATGGCACTGAAATGGTTCCTCAGGCTTCATTTGTCAAGTGAAGAGTCACAGTCAGACATGAGCTTGTCCCGTCTAGACAACCCGGACTCACTTCCAACACATTAAACACACACGTACACCTCCTCCCTCTGACAGGAGACCGTTTTACTCTTCCTGTGAACCAGCACACAAACCGTATTCTTCACAACTGACTAACACATGACTGTGGACCTGGGAGTCTGAGGTGGTACAAACATGTGGCTGCTTCTCTCAGCAAAGCACCACTTCAGGGTAACAAGAGTCAGGCTGCCCCACTTAAGCGCTGTGGGGTTTTTTTTTTTAGTCAGCACTCCTTTGCTACCATGTGTGGGAAAACTGAGACACAATAGAAGCAGCAACAATACTGTAACTTGTGGCATTCGTCAGCACTTCTCCAAAACGTTACAATGAGTCGAATTACTTGAGAAATGGAGGATGTCAGTATCACAGGACATAAAGAGCACAGGTGGATGAGTTTGAAGGACGTTGACAGTTGAGAAGGCATATTGCAGTGAAGTGTCAGAGCGTTTTGTCTTCCAGAAACCTCTTTAGATATGTGTGGGACTGTTGCTTCATCGTTTTGGTCCAGCAGATTTATGGCCCATCAACCTGTGGTCTGCTCGACTGGCCCTGGTGTTGTCATAACATAGGACTAGTGCAGTTTGGCTTTACCTCCAGCTTCTAAATTTAAAGAAGTGCATTATTATCCTTTTTTGAGTGGCCTTTTAGCATCTTTTTAGCCTCCTGTCTAATAGATGAAGAGGACCTCTGACACTCTTACCTTGCTGCTGATGTCAGTTAATGTAATTTTCCCTTCAAGTTAGAGTGAGATGGTAGTGAGTCATAGCATCATTCAATTAACTCTATAAATGCCACAAATCTAACTTTACTGTTCTTGTCATTGGATAAATTCTTCTAAAACACCACGTAGATTAGGAGTTCCATAGCCCAATGAGAACCTCTTCACAACATTGAGAAGAATGCAGGGGGGAAACAGAAGGTGATATCACTCCTTTCTTTTTTTTCGTCCATGTAGGGTCTTAAATTGTTTGTACGGTAAACTTTAGTGCGGTAAAATTAGACTGTGACGGTGTTTGTGATTCTTCTGCGGCTGGCCTTACTCACTGCAGTGAATCATGTGTTCCAAGGAGTAGATCTTGCAAGCCCAGCTGGCTTTCGGTCAACCCCTCTCCTCTGGCTCCAGGCATGGTTACTGACACATGTCTGCAGCGTGGAGGATTGGGCTCTTATTGTCTAAGGTGTCATTTCTTCTAATGGAAATCAACCAGCAGTCTAACCATCACTCACCCTTCCTCCTCCTTTTCTCGACTGGCCACAAGTATGTGGTGAGTGTAGGAGCAGTCTTTCCCACCAGATCATGATTCTTAAATTATCACTATAAACATACAATTCAACACTCAACTATGTCAGCAGAAATTGACTTGTCTTGCCTGCCGGTCTGAAAAATTCTAGTGGAGTGTTTTTTTGTTTTTTTTTGTTTGTTTTCTCTGTAGCCTGATTTGGTCATCTTGATCTCTGTTTTTTGATAGTATTCATACTTCAGCAGACCTGAAATTGCGATCATATCTAATTCACCTCCACTGCCTTTATGGGAGTGATGAAAAACACGTAGCTGTCCATTTATTTTCCCGCACACCCAATTTCCAACTTCTCTTGTTATCCAGGCACAGAGGGGCCTAAAATATTCCTTTTACAGGAGCTTTTGTATCTTCATTCTCTCCTCTGATAATGGATTCCAATGGCAACATGTCACAGAAAATAGATTTTTACCACACTGAGTAATGGTTTTATTGCCAAAATCTTTTGCTTTTGAGCCACACTTTAGATCTATGCATCTCAGAACAGGTCCTGCTTATAGATAAATTCCTTAGTGAAAATATATCAGCATGAACACTGAAAGTGACATCGTAGTAAAATGCCACATGGCTCTGCAGTGCCTCACCAAGAGGGTCTTACCAAGTACACACAGTTTGATGCACACTTAACTGTGTATATTGGCCTCCTCGCACAACTCTGTGGGGCTAAATCTCGGCAGCACGCCTGCAACTCACATGGCTGTATAAGGGCACAGGGATTGTGCTTCCCCGCTGCAGCAGAGCGAGAACGAAGGAGGAGGGAGGCAGAGAGGCAGAGAGAGAGAGGGTTAGCTCGCATCTGGTAGTTCTTAAAACTTCTGGAATGCTTTTGCTATAGTTACACAAACCAAACAAGCTTACTTACCAAGCCAAGACGTTCTCTCTCTCCCCTTCTGCTCGTGCTTTCATCAACACCCTCCGCAACCTCTTCAATCAGTCTGCAACACCTTTCCAATCCTTCATCTTTGAAAAATTAAGACGGATATATTTCAGTCGATATGAGAAAATGAACATTTTTACAGCGGTCCTGCACAAAAAAAACAAAAACTAAGAAAAAATAATGAAATGAGGCTCTAAAAAATATCGTTGAATTCATTTATATGGAATTTTTAGAAAACTATATCCAGCTGAGGATCCAGATGTGCATGCTTCTAGACTAGCACCATCTATTCTAGTCCTGACACATTCTGGCTGTCTCACTCCTGCATCAGAACCATCCCATATTAAAACATCATTGCAGTGCTGAATGATGGTTCCCTGGCCTCCAAGCCTGAGGGGAGGGAAACGAGGGGAGAGAGGCTGCTCTGTTTTAGTCATTATACTCATTGTGGTGTCTTACTGTCTGATTGGGATCTTGCACACAGCAAGATAGTACCTCAGTATCTTCAAGGATGACTTTTTGGTGTTTTTGTAGAAGCTGTGCTGTCCTATTACTCGCCAACAGCAACTGAATACTGTTTTTTATGTGTGTGTGTGTGTGTGAGAGGAAAAGTTGGAGGACAGAGGGTAAGAAGGAGATAGAGGTTGTGTCTCCCCTGTCTCAGTTGGGGATTACAGTTAAAGCAAGATTTGTTGGGGCCCTGAGAAAAGGGATTTGAAATTTTCCACCCCTCGTGTGCACAGCTGTCTACAATTCTTACCCATCTCCTCTGTCCCTTTGCTTTCTCTTACTCCTCATCCCCCTTTCTCGACTTTTTTTAAATTTAAGTTGCCTTAATGTCACTGTATTCACCTACATTACAGGTTCTACCCATTGTCTGTGTGCTTTGCAAGAGGCCGTGTGGTTTATTTGAAGCCTGTAGTTGAAACAACAAAAATTACTTTGTTTTTAGTGACTTACTGACTTGTTGTGAGGCAAGCTTATGTTTATGTGGCGTCAAATTTACTGTCTTGCTCCCTCTCCCTCCAGATATTCGCCACCCAGAGGAGCTATCTCTACTGCGTAAGCCCCGTGATCCCAAGAAGAAGAAGAAAAAGTTGGAGGAGGCAGAGGAGGATGATCTGGAGCTGGAGGGTCCGCTGTTAACCCCTGGATCAGGTGAGCTAATGCATAGCAACTCCTAAATGTAGGGAAAGCACTTGCGGCTCCAGAACACTGGTTACAGTGTTTGCTCAAAAAATCTGCTATATTTATGACAGGAAGCAATAATATTCTTCTTGGAAAAAAAAAAAAAAAGAGAGACGTGTAAGTTTTGCTCTTCACATGTCGTCTTCACACGAGGATCCGTCTGTGCATTCAGTTTTTTTTTTTTAGGTTCAAGATCTACTTTGAAGTAATTATGGAGCATTGGGTTTTGTTTTTGTATTTCATTGTGAAAAGTAATAATCTTGTTTCCTTCAAGCAGCAGGTTGAATAGCAGGTTTCACTGGCTACTATGGAGTGTCTTCCATTCTTTTTTGTGTCTGATTGCGCTTGTGGTTCAGAAACCCACTAGGATAACTTCAGATTGCTGCACCCTGCTTCTAGTGACCAAATATGAATGTGTGAGTTTGAGGCCTGCATGGGATCTACAGCCCCGGCTCTCGATTCCTTGGCAGGGAGGACGAAGAATGGTTGGGATTCCACACATAGTTGGTCACGCTGCCATTTTAAACCCAAACCAGGCTACACGACTGCAGTTATATTGGCCCTCCTCCCTCCTTCACCAGGGATGGGAGAGTTACAACCATGTGAGCAGGGAGGAGCAGAACAGGCTGCGCTGCTGTCAGAGAGTTAGCATTAAGCAAAACTGCTAACGCTATGAGACAGGGTGAATGGGACTCTTTGTGTGGTTTGAGTCTGTTCTGCCCAGCCTCTGGTCAGTCCCCTGGCTCCTTAGACTCTGCTCAGCATCCACATATACACTCTCATTTAAGTGGAAGAGGTTGAACAATCATTGTGAGCTTGGTGAACAATCACAATTCCCGCAGTCAAGAAAAACTAACTCTGCTGAAACTACCAGCAGCATATGTGTCTACAGTATTTTACCATATATTGAAATAAAATCAGTCATGGAAAATGCAAAAAGCAGCAGCTTTCCATTTTCATGAGCACATGATGATGGTCACACCCAAAGTTGCATCATTTCATTTCAGGGGTTGTGCTGCATTACGATATATTTTGTTTTCAGTGGGTGCAGAGAAACTTTTCAGAGTTTCAGGAATGTGCAGAATCTGTTTACTGTCACCACTGTCCCTGTGTGTGTG